CTGGCTTCTCTGAAAACTTTTTCTTCTCTGCTCCTTTTGAATGGTCTATCCTTTATTCTTTCATTGTATTAATTCAGACTTCGAACAGTGGGGTTTGCATTGGTCAGGGTGCCTGCTCCTATACTTGGAATTTTGGAAATGCTCCTGCAGTCTGTACAGCGCTTGATGAATGTTCAGCATTTCTCCTGCTTGTTTGTTTTGATATTTAGCGGCATGTGAAAGCATAATCCTGCATGAAACGCTCTGCAGCAATGCCCCGCTTACGGTTTTACATCGACTGGAGCTCTGTGGGATGTAACCCTTCTACTTGCCCTTTGTTCCAATGTGCTGCTTGTGTTGCTGTCCAAACCTTCTGCCGTTCTTTATTGTGCAGTGCTGGCGGTGCTTTTGGGATTTTCCTGTGAGCCTTATTTCAGTGCAGTTATCACCTTTTTCTAGTTTCGGTTGCTTGATCCCATCCTCTCTGTTCTGTCAAGTACCACATCCTCAGTGTCTACAAGGAGTTGCCATGAAGGTGTCTTCCGAGGATGTTGAGTACAACCTGACCTAAAATTCTACAAGGAACAGCATGCAGCTTGTTGGGTTTACTCCCTGTGTTATTTGTGTCCCAACTTTTTAATTTGTGAATTGCTGTAAATTCCCAAACCTCTGCAACTTAGTCTTGCTTAGTTTTGAAACATGGTGCTGAGCAGCTTGGCTCTATCACAGCTACCAGTCCACAAGACCTCTGTGTTTACTGCAGGCTGCAGGATGCTGCCACCTGCCCAGGACACCTGTGTTATGGGAAGGAGTGTTGGTGTCAGCTCCTGCTTAACTGGCCAGTCTTCCCCAGGCCCAAACGTATCTTTTGGAAATGAGAGTAAGGGGGAGGGAGGCACACCCGGAGTCAGCTATACTAAATCCCTTACTGCATGTCGGAACATACCAACCCCCGCGGGCAGTCTTGAGCTATGGCCTCACTGAACATCATCCACAGGATTTGTTCTTTCCTAATCTCACCTGCTTGAGGATTTCTAGGGGGAGAAAGGGAGATAAATTGCACAGAATTATGCTCATTCTTTTAACAAATGCAGTTACGGGCTTGACCAGAACCTGTAGGAAGAGATGCCAGGGTACTGAGAGCTGCTGCTTCAGAAATCTGCGTGGTGCCAGATTCGGGCAGTTCTGGGTGCTGGGAAATGGATGCCCAGTCACATCTGAGCACCTGGAGCTGGCCGGATGCAGTGGCGTTGGACTGGGCTGGAGAAAGAGGCTGCCGGTTTGATGGTGGAGTCTCCAGTTGCTAAAACCCATGGTGTGATGCAGAAGACGAGTTCAGAGACTGACGGGGAAGGGCCATGACTGCAGGCAGTTGGGCATGGGGAGACAGGCAGGTGGGTTCAGATGCAAAGGGCCAGAAAATTGTTCCCACACTCTTGTGTTTGGGGCGGAGGTGGCCAGGGTGCTAGAATGGTTTGTTTGCAGAATATTCCTCAGGGCTTTTTTTGCAGTATGATCTAGTGCTTAGCATTTGAGCATATATTTCGAGAGACTAAAGATATGACCGAGATGTGCAACATCACCCTCTTCCTAAGGACATGTACCATCAGCTGTCTGTATTGTACTTGCATTATTACGTTCTTGTGTTGCTAGCTGAATGCCTGCTATTTATGTGTTGATGAGTGAAGTGAGATGAGCTGTTTATAAATTTGCATGATATAGATGTATTATAATAAAATATGGAAAGAGGAGGAGGGTTCTTCCGTAGTATCTGTTTTTGCAGGTCTCACAAATATTTTCTTTTAATTGAAACCTTGTTTAAATACCACAGTAAAACTGGCTGCCAGTCAAATGCCAATCACCACAGATATGTATGGCACTTCTTGTTATTAATTGGATGCACATTATGCTGCTGTTCTCTGTACACAGAACCAATATGCAAATCTGCTGGTGTTCATTTTTTTGCTGAGGTATGTGCAAGAAAAGCATCCTGCTAACTTGGCCTCGGCTGTAAATGTAAAATAGGTGTCTCCATAATGGATTGTGTTGTTTCTTGATAAGATGACACCAATGTAATCATTGGAACTCTGCACAGTGTTCCCAATTATTGCAGGAAAACACTGAATTATGTTCTGTGCTGAGTTAGCTTGAAGCAAGAGAATGTAAGTGCCTGCAAAACGCAGGGCACTTGGCAGTGCCCTCGCTCTGACTTCTTGGTACAAGGACCGAGTGTGATGGCAATGGTCTGCCCGAGGGGCAGGGCCAGACTGTCAAAACAGAGAGCTAGCATCCAGCTACTCCTGCTCTGAGCGAGTTCTGTCATCAGCCTATCTGTAACTACGTGATCGCAGCTTTCCTCTGAGTGCTTCCCACTCACATCTTTTCCCTTTCTGAAAAGTCATCTTTGTATGTCCTCCTGCCCTTGGTCACTTTGCTCACATACCTGCTGTTCACAGGGCACTGTAAGCTGTATTTTGCCACCCAAAAGCTTTTTGTAAAGCCATCCAGCTCCTTAGTAAATACTTGTTAAAAAAAATAATTAAAGACAGTCATTTGCAACATGATTTTTCTTTCTCTCCTAGGCCTCAGCCGTACCGGGCCCTGAAAGAATCTGACAGTGCTGATGGGGAAGAGGTGGTCAGTCCAGAAAAATCAAAAGAGCCTCTGCCTTCCAGCCCTCTGCTCTCAAGCAAGTCCACAGAAATCAACCTCCTTGAAGACATTTTCCCTAACTTAGAAGTAGAAACACAACCTCAGCCTCTCAGCCAAGCTAAGAGCCTAGAAGACCTGCGGACTCCCAAAGAAGAGGGAGATCACCGATGCACGTTTGATTACCAGGTTGGGACAGGGTTCCATGTACGCTGGGGGTTTTGCACAGAACTCGGGCTGCCTGTCTTCGTTATTCTCTGAGGAACATTTTCATGTCGTTGGGTAGATATGTCCATTTTCCAGCCATTTGTTCATGTGTTTCAAAGTTCATTTCTGAATTAAGAAATTATTGGAATGGGACTCAGTGGAAAAAGTTACTTTCTTATAACTAAAACTACAGCCTTTACTTCTAAAGGAGGACATATTTGCCCTATTTCTCAGAATCTGTTTTGTCCTTTGGCTATCACACACAGTTTTCTTTGAAGCTGATGCTCAGCAGTGAGAATAATACCTGGGAATTTTCAAGTCCCCTCCAAACTGCAGGTTTTTTAAATTATGTTCATTTACTCTGGCCATTTTGGTCTAGGCATCATTTGAACAGTCTAGATTGCTCTGTGTTGTGAGGACATCAGCAAAAGTTAGCTTTTTTTATGCTTTCTTGCAGAGAATGGATCTTGGTGTGTCTGAGAAGAACAGGATTGTGCCAACCATGAAGCTGTCTCACCCTTACAACAAGCTGTGGAGTATGGGTCAGGATGACATGGCTATTCCTACCAAGTATTCCCAAAGCTCACCAGAAAGGCCCTTGACTGCGCTTGGTAACACATGGAGACCCCGGAGCAAAGACAGCATTCTGGCTCCAGCAGAAAAGGACGAACCAAATCCTGCCATTCAAGGGAACATCACCATTCCTAGGCCGCAGGGAAGAAAGACTCCTGAACTGGGAATAGTGCCGCCACCACCAGCGCCCAGGGCTTCCAAGCATCCGACTCCAGCTGGGCCAACAGAAATTCTCACCACCCACACTACAGGACATAGCCATTTGGTTTCAGATCTTATCCCAGAGCCCTTTGGAGCTGGTAGTGTGTCCTTAGACCCTGAAATCCAGCAGTCTGTAAATTATTCCTCTCATCCATCTCAGCTTTTGTCCAGTGCTACCAGCACTGCTGAGATGCTCCAGCCTGTCAAAGTGAAGACAGATAATACAGGTAACGAAAGCGACTACCTTCTTAATCTCCTGGATCCATTGAAAACAGCCAGCTGGCAAAGCAGTGGCCCACAGCAAGGTCCCCGCAGCCTGCAAAGCTCAGCCACTCCACCTTCCGTAGCTAGCTTTGTCTCGGTGGCAAGTGATTTTGTGTCTCCTCCAGCTGCACCATTTGTTCAGCCACTTGGTTACCCTTCCCCAGCACCACCACATTTTTTACAGCCATCTCCTAACCCATTTACACAAACGGTGCCAGGAGCCCTGTCAGTGTCTCTTGTGAGACCGCCAAGGGGCTCTTTCACCCCCTCTCTAGGTCATGCTTATAGCTCTAGCTTCATAACGCCTAATTCTAGCTTCTACCCACCACAAAGACCTCAGCCAAACATTTCAACACTATCCATGCCAAACTTGTTCAGCCAGGCTCCAGCTGTGCCACCAGCCGGGTCCTTATTGCTGCAGAGTCACAGCCCTTCTCCAACAAGCTCCCTGCAGCCAGCATGTTTAAGTGGTCCTTCTAAAACCAGAACATTACAGGTGGGCCAGTCCAGCTCAAAGGTAGATCCCAAACAAACGCTAACGCTCCTGTCTAATGAACCCCCTTTGATCCCTTCCAGGCCAGCTAAGGGCTTAGAGTCAGTGTTACTGTCCTCAAAATCTGAGGAGACAAAAGATCCATTTGAAGATTTGTTAAAAAAGACAAAGCAAGATGTGTCATCCACACCAGGTAAGGTTGAACAGCTCAGAAAACGATGGGAAACCTTTGAGTAACGCTCGTGATGGCCTTTTGATGTCCCTTTGGAATTGACAGAGGGGTTTTTTGGGTTTTTTTGAGCCAGCATAAAACCAAGCATTTCTTTTATGGAAGGCTGAGCCAGGATAGCTGCAGGACCATCACCGTGCTGCAATTCACACGAGTGCTTTTTGCCCAGAGTTAGGAGTCCCCCGTTGTCCTCATCCCTCACTCTCCACCACTGAAAATGCCCATGGCTCTTGCATTGACCAAAGCACGAAGGTAGTTGGGGTTTGGGTTGGGTTTGGTTTGGTTTGTCACACGCAGCACTACTGATGCAGAAGTTCCTCCTTCCCTAATATTTCCAGTCCTTAGCACTGCCGGGAGCATAGCACGGCGCGTTGTACTGGTTTTCCCACCCGTGGGAATGGTGGTCAGGTTTTCTTGTATTACACATACAGCTACATCATGTTTTGCTTTCACGTGTAAAATGCAGCAAACAAACGCGGACTTGTGGGCGGCACTGAATTACACTCTGAGTTAGTCCTGTCTTGAACTACAGATATTCATTTAGGTTGTACTCTGGGCTGAGCTTTTGTTGCAGGTTTTTGATTTCCTCCCCCGTACACTGACACTGAGAGGTGATAGGGACCTCTGGTGCAGAACTGTCATAATTCCTTCTCGCAACAAAACCGTGGCACAGGGCAGTTGCTCAGGGCTTGGTCCTGCATCTCTGTTGGGAAACTGGAAACACCAGCAATTGATTTTCTTATTTTTTGCTTTTGTTTATTTGTTTTTGTTAAATACATCAGAAAATAGAGGCCATAAAGAGTATCCTAGTTCTTATATATGTGTGTTAATATTATACATAAATACTATAGATGGCAGTATCTGAATGGGATGTAACAATATCTTACTTCATTATTAAAAACAAAAAAAAAAAAAAAAAGAGGGAAAAAAAAATGAGGTCTAAAAGTTGCCAGCTCCTGAGTTCAGATGAAATGCCAGCATGCTGGGACAATGGCCCGGGTGCAGATAGACCCAGCAGCAGCGCTCGGCTCTGCAGGCAGAGACCAGGCTCAGTGGAGCTGAGGAAGTGCTGCGACGCTGGGAGGCTGCTGTGTGGCAGGTGCATGTCCCTGCTGGGCAGCAGAAGGGCTGACTGCTGCCGTGGTGCACCGGGATTTCCCCCTGGGCGCCTTCAGCCTGGCTGAATCCCGCAGTCTTTCTCCCGCTGTTGGCGAGAACCCTTTGTGGGTAGAACAGGACGTGAGCTGGACTGTGACATGGACTGCCAGGTCACGCAGCACAAAATGCAATGGAAAGGTTCAAGGGTACGTTCATTCTGGTTTTCTAAGACACTTATCTGTGGCAATAGTAGTCTCAAGAAATTTCATCTTAATCTTGGCATCCCTTATAAAACCTGCTGTCTTTGCAGTGATCATTTTTGTTTTACTTAAGTGGTGCTTTTTTGATTTTGGGTTGTGTTGTTTGGGGTTTTTTTGTATTTAGGCACAATCTGATGTAAAACATGTTACTCTAGAAGAAGTAATCACATCACCATTAAGCCTTTGATAAAGGAAGTCATTTTGGACACATGGGGAAATTCTTGTAAAGCTTTATCTGATTTCCAATGTATCTATTTTATTCATGTAATCTTGGAAGTTTTCTTACTCTCGTGTATGAAAATGGCTGTCTATGCGTTTGAGTCTGTGCAATACAAAAGAAAAACACACTCAATTTCTGAAATGCCAACAGTTTGGGAAAGACCATAGTATTACATTAATATTACATTTCTGTAAAGTACTGTTACTCTGACAAGCCATTCAGTTGGATTTGTATTTTCTTTTTGTGTTGGAACACAGATGGTTTTAGTATTGCATAGTAAAATAGTTAAAGTCTAAGCTAATAGCTCCATTTTATTTTATACAGTTCAGAATATGAACATTATATATAACTTCAGTCTGGAATTTCAGCTCTCCTTTGCTATGAGCTAGATAAAACTTTCTCGACTATGATGGATATGTCCAGGGACCAGAACGTTCTGCGTATGACATGCCATTTGAATTTCACATGCTCTTTTTTTACAATTTGTAATGGCACACACTGATTAGATGCTGAGTAGACCGATTACACATGCTTAACTAAATAGAAAAACGCTCAGGTAATTCTGTGTCACTGCAAATCATTTTGCATTGCTGATTATTTTGCTCTGTCCATGTTATGGAATATTTTATGCAGTTGATTTTTTTTGACAAACAAGCACTCTTGGATTATTTTTAAGTCAGTTTTGAGACACTGAAAAGTATGAACACTTAACACAAATGGCATTAATCACCCTTGAAGGGGAGGCTGAACACACCTCTGAGATCCAGGAGTACAAGGCAGCAGCTCCTGGAGCGTGTGACCTTCCTCACTTCTTGAATAGCATTTGCAAGCAAGAGACTGTTTTACGTGCTTCTCATAGTAAAGGAATCAAACTATCCCTAGGGCAGGAGTTACATTTTTTTTTTGTCTTATTTAAACTCAGGAATTTCTAACATGATTCGTTCCTAGTAGCACCAGGTGTAAACAAAGTGCTTGTCTGGGAGAGTGAGAAATGGCTGTACACCATTTCTTTTTCTGATGGGGAAGTATTTTTGATGTTTTTACTAATCTAGCATAAGAAGTGTTCCTTTTACTTCTTGTCTGGTATTATTCATCGATGACTTTATATTCAGCTTTGTAAATTTTCCTGTACTCGCCATGCTTGTTTGCTTGTTTGGTACTGCTTTGCTTATTTACTGATGCTTTCTTCCATTAGAAATAATTTTTATTTAAAAAACCGAAAACAAACCCACCAACCCTCTTTTAAGTTTCTGATGCTGTAGAGACGGTAAAAACCATTTTTATAGTTTGTTCGTGCATTGGGTTAGAAACATTTTAGACAGACACTGCCATTGGAAGCTGTCGCAACACACATGAATGTTGTTGAAGACTGTTCTCTCATTACCTTACATGCACACGTTAATTAATTACGAGAGGTTTGTGATGTCTCTGCACATACTAGGGATCTTTTTCTAACCTGCAGTGACTGGGCTGAGCTGTTTAAATGTCTGTCCCCGTGCCTCCCCTTTTTTATGTGTGTGGAAAAAAAAAAAAATCTAGCCAGAGATGACACCTGCCCCGTTCTCTTTCTGGTTAGGAGGTGGTTACAGCCTGTCTGTGACAAATGGCTCCACTACTGCGGGAGAGATTCATATCCCGTTACCCAGCCCCAGGCACCCGCTGAGGCAGTGACAGCCTGAGGAGGGACGAGCGCGTGGTAACGGTTCTCCTCTTACCCGGGAACGTTTCACGGAGTGTCCTCAAAAAAGCACGTAGGGAAATGCTAGCTAACTGCTTCCTCACCTCTAGTCTACTTGTCTTTTTAACGTGTTTTGTTCCTTGTACACTCACCATACAGGCTTTATGGTCAAAGAGGTTTTGCTTTTTTTTTTTTTTCCTCAACATCAACAGATTGAATTGATTAGCAGTGAACAAGAAGCCTGTTAGTTGTTGCTGCTTACAACATCCAGGTCGGCTGGTTACCAAGTTCAGGTCGGGGGGGGGGGGATTTATTTATTTATTTATTTTAAAACTTTGCTCCTAACAGTTGGAAGTTAACCACTTTTGGTACTTTTAGGCACTGGAGCGTGTTTTGGTTAACTGACTGTGGTTTCAGGCTTACCTGGTTGTTCTTAGCGCAGCAGTCGCTGTGATGTAGACATCTTGCTGTATGAGGCAGCAGCGTGCACATGCGTTGCCTCTGGAGCTGGCTTTAGTTCCACGAGATGTGCTGCTCTCTGGGTGTAGGCTTTTACTCCACTGCACATGGACACCTCCAGTTCCCAGAGATCAGTGCAGCCATTTGAATTACATTCAAGTCACTTGTTCCCATATTCTAATCTCCTTCCCGTCTGCTGCTCCGATTCACCACTAAACTCTGTCCCTGTGACAGCACTCCTGCCAGGAAAGGGCGCCCAGCTCCTCGGGCAGCTCAGCGACCTGGTAAAGACCGAGACAGCTGGCTCCAGCTTTCTCACTTCTGCTGGAGATGGCTGGCTCCTGCTCCTCTGTAAGAGGATTTCTGCTGCTGCAGAATCCAATGGCTGTCAGGTACCTCCTGGCTCAGTCTGATCGTTGCATCTTTGCTCATTAAAAGGATTCATGGTAAAATGTAGCAGCACGTGCTTCAGTACAGGTGAGCAGAAAATGCAACAGGTCTCCACAGCCCCTTCTGTGTTCCCACACCAGACCTTCACTGGCTGCTGTGCAGATCTGCTTCCCTCAGGGCTATGCTTAGAGCTCGGGTGTGTGACAAATGTAAATAACCAGAAAATTAATAACACTTTAACTGTAAAAGAGGCATTGAGGTGCGTGGCTGTGCAAACTTTGTGTTGCAGACCAAAATCAGCCATCTAGATGTTAACTTACTCTTCAGAAAAAAAAAACAATCACAACTCAAGGTAACTAGGTCTATTTTTAACCAAATTTTATTGTAAATTTCTTTTGAAGGACATTCTAATTTTTTACAAATTATAAAATTTACAGTTACAAAAGAAATCAGGATCATTAACTACAGCAAATCCAGTTCTGTGAAAAAATATATTCAAAAATTAAATATCAAAAGAAAGTTCATTATTGAAAAAAAAAACCAACAAAACTTTCATAAATTATTTTGCAGAAATGCTCAAGACACTGACAAAAATATTTTAACACTTTTGCTCATACTGGCTTTGGGTGCTTGAAATAAAAACATCTGCTCTGCTAATCCTGTATAGCAACGGAGCAGGAGCCTTCCTGCCGCCTGCCCAGAACAGCAGGGGATGCAGACAGGCTCGCTGCTTGCAATGTGCTGGGTTTTCGATGCCTTTACTGTTGTGGAGTTTGTAGCTTCTGGTTGCCTTTCAGGATATTTCTGTAGCTCAGTAATAGTCAGTTCTTATAACACAATACTGGGTTTCTTCTCAAAATAATACAGGCTGGAGTAATACTGGTTCATTTAGATCCTGTTGCTGCCTTCATTTTTCTACACTTTAAACACAAAAAATGGAGCAGAGCTACAAAGTAAACGTACACCCCTCTCCTGGCAGCACCCCGGAGGTTCATCAGGTCTGAGTATCCAGAAACTCAGAGCGTATCCCGAGCCTGCCGTCGGTTTACTGCAGGTCACTATGGGACGAAGGAGAGCACACCTACCTATGCACTGACGCAGAGGCCGGGCCGTGGGGCTCTGCCCCAGAGCAGCCCACTGCTGCTGCCCCGGGCTCCGCCTGTCCATCCTCACCAGGAGATGAGCCCGCTCTCAGACAGGGGCACGCTCAGCCCAAGGGTGAATTTCTGTTTCTGCAGACACAGGACCCAGCTCGGCGTGTGGGGCCTGCCCTTCCAGCCCTGCTCTCCCAGAAAAGCTGCCGGCTTCGTTTGCTCATTCTCCTCTCGCACAAATGCTGCTGAGCAAAACTACACTCCCCTTTTCCCTACGGTGTGCAGTTTGACTAGTTCCAGCGCAGCAAGGTGACTGGGCTGTATAACTGCCTGTATTCTGAAAGTGTGTTACACCTTCCTAAATAGCATCTGGAAAATAGACAGAGCAAATCATTCATATTAAAAGTAATAGCAGTGTTATTACTAATAAATAAATAAAAGCGATAGCAAGCTCCTCGAACTGAAGTTAGGTCATTTCTTTCTTTATCAATACTATGTCCGAGTCCTTTCCAAACCATGGCCGGGGGAAACACCACTTGCTCTTTCAGCTTTTCCCCAGTATTAGAGGAACATGCTCTTACACACAAAATAGTAATTGTCTTGTTGCCCAGTGGTTTGGTTTTTCTATTTTCCAAAGTTTTCATTCTTCATCTTACAGCAGCAGTTGCACACGTGCAGAAG